AGCAGTTTTCAAGGCAAATTTCTTAGTATAAAAGCTCATATATATGTATTCATTCTTTGGTCTTCACTATTTATAAACTCAAAGCAAAATTATAAGTAGAAAAGATTGGGGTCAAGGAGAAAGAGAATCCCAAAAAGAGGTTTTCTTCTCATTAGTGTTCTGTATTTCACTTGTTTTCTTCCTTCCCTAAATCTGAACTGATCTTCCAGAGGTGATATGAAGAATCTTCTATTGCTTAATTGGACAAATCACTTTCTAATTTGGGTCCATCTCAATCATTAAAAAGGTCACTTGAATCTGTAAATGAAAAATCTGTAAATGAAAAAAAAAAAACACAATCAGAAGTCAAAAATCCCTGTCCCATATAACTGCTAAAGTTAGTCAAATGAGTAATCAAACCAAAGACTTGAGAACCAAAATTCTTAAAAAATTTTAATTTCATGCATTACCACCTATAACAACACTGCTTTAAGTCTTTTTACTGTTAAGACAAAGAATCGCTATGCTGCCCCGGCTCTCCTCAACCTCAAGACTGCCTGCCTTGGCATGCTAAGTAGCTCAGACTACAGACATGCTTACCATTCCCAACCTTTACAAGTCCTTTAAGGACTCTAGAACTGTTACTTCACCAGAGTATTCTTTTCTTCTTCTTCTTCTTTTTTTTTTTTGGTCTTTTTGAGACCAAGCTGGCCTCCATTTCACAGAGATCCTCCTGCCTCTGCCTCCCAAGTGCAGGGACTAAAGGTGAGCACCAACACGCCCAGCTCCAGAGTATTCTTCTTTGTACATAACCATGTCTCCAATTAGCTATCAAAGGTAATTCAGAAGGGGCTGGAAAGATGGCTCAGCAGTTAAGAGCACTGAGCACTGGCTGTTCTTGCAGAGGACTCAGGTTCAGTTCCCAGCACCTATATAGCAGCTAACACCAGTCCTTAACTCCAGTTGCAGGGGATCCAATACCCTCTTCAGGCCTCAACAGGCACCAGGCACACATATGGTACATGCAAGGAAACCATTCATATGCATAAAAAATTATTATTTTAAAATCTATATTTTCAGCTTACATACAGGCAAACCACTCATACACATAAAATAAAAATCTTTTTTAAAAAAGGTAACTCAGGGGCTAGAGAGATGGTTTATGGCTTAGTGATTAAGAACACTAGCTGCTCTTGCAGAGGACCCAGGTTCAGTTCCCAGCACACACATGGTGGCTAACAAACATCCATAACTCCAGTTTCAGGGGAACTGATGCCTTCTTCTGACCTCTGCAGGCAGTGCATGACATGGGTGCATTTACATACGTGCAGGTAGGTAATACACTGATACACATAAACTAAAAATAATCTTTTTTAAAAAGGTAACTCATGAACAGCTTGTGGGAACACTACCAGTGTCATTATTACCTAATTATTTGGTATTACTATCCAAAGAGATCCTTAAGGTGAAATATCTGCCATACTATTTTTTTTTTTTTTTGGTCTTTTTGAGACAGGGTCTCCCTGTAGCCACAGCTGGCCTAGATTCACTGTGGAGACCAGGCTGGCTTTGAACTCAAAGAGATCTGCCTGCCTCTGCCTCCTGAGTCCTGGGATTAAAGTTGTGTACCACCACACCTGGCTTATCTCTCATATTTTTATACTGTATACCTTTTAGACAACTATCAATTTAGAGACTTAAAGCTCTTATGATCTAACTAGCTATGTACTGAGATGATACAAATGTTTCTTTGGCCAATTCCCAACATTCTTCTAGGGGCTACACACTTTTCTGATACAAGAGAACTCTATCTTTGGGCAGTTCTGGCCTATGCAGACAAATTCTAATTTGGAGGATAGTTCTCATATATCCAACTCGACTGTCTATGCCCTACTGTGGTAAGTTCATGGAATACAAAATACCAAATTTAGGATCTAGTAAAAATATCTCTACAGGGAAATGAAGAGAATGGAGCCATAAAGAGATGCTAGAGGGATTCAGCATTATTTCTCAAGCTAAATGCGAAGTACAAGTTCACTAATTCTTTATATTTTTCATATGCTTCTTAAGTATTAAATATGTAGAAAGTTTAAGTAAATGAGGAATGTGTTTTATAAGTTGAAATATATCTTCCACCTGCATTACATATTCCTTGAACACAGAATAGTGATAAAAATCGACCATATACTAGAGGAATCTTCAATTAGTTCCAAAGAATAAAATATTCTATTTACTTCGGCCATACTGTATTGAAATCAGAAAATGACTTTCCCTTGCATTTTTTCCCTCTCTGTCAAGAAATTCTGCCCAAAAGTCATTAGGAGTCAATGAATGAGTAGCAAAAAAGGAAGCCGCAGAGGCCCAGAGTAGTGAGTTTCGTCTGTCCAGGAATAGAAAGGCTGTCCACGTAGGGTTAGGAGTGGAAGAGAGGAAATAACTCAATGTAGTTTCAAAGTTCATTCAGCAATATAAGGGGTAAAATATCAATATTTAAATAGAATGGCAAAGAAAACTATGAGTAAACCTGTAATACAACAAAGTAGAACTTAATGGATTGAAATGAGCTTTAAAAACATTTGTCCTAGCAGGGCGTGGTGGTGCACGCCTTTAGTCCGGCACTGGGAGGCAGAGGCAGGTGGATCCCTGTGAGTTCCAGGCCACCTGGGGCCTATCTCAAAAAGACAAAGAAAAAAATAAAAGGCCTGAAATAAGACTAAAAATAATCTGCAGGCTTGAGATGTAGCTACACTGCTAGAGTTCCTGTCTAGCACACACAAAGCCCTGGGCATATCTCCCACTCAACAGATGTGGTGGCACATGTCTATCATTCAAGCTCAGGAGGTGGAGACAAGATGGCTCAGTGGGCAAAAGTCCCTGCTGCCAAACCTGATAACCCGAGTTTGATCCCTAAGACCCACATGGTAGAAGTATAGAAACAACTCTCCCATGTGTATCATAATACCACCCCCCAATAAAAATAAATAAATAAAAAAGTTTGGAGCTGGAGAGAAAGAACAGCCATTAAGAGTATTGGTTGCTCTTGTAGAGAATGTGGACTCAGCTCTAGGCATCTATGTGGTGGCCTCACAACAGTCAGCAACTCCAGTTCCAGAAGATCAAATGTCCTCTTCCAGCCTCCACAGACACTGCATGCATGGTGCATTTGCATACACACAGGCAAAACACTCACACACATAAAATACAAATAAATAAGAAGTTCAAGATCATCCTCTCCTACACAGTGAATTCGATGCCAAGCTGGGCTATATGAGATCCTGTCTCAAAAACATAAAACAATGAGCAAAATAATAAGTTAAAAACTAGTAAATGTGAATTTGGCAAAACTGGCAAAATAGAAAATCTGAATAGATGTTATTATTATTGGATAAAAGTCAATCAGAAAAACTCTCCTACCAAAAGGACAGTGGGTATAAGGGAAAAGCCCAATTGCTACAGTTTTTTGGAGACAGCAAGTGAATATCTTGTTAGTGAGCTGGGACAAGGCAGGTTTACACATCGACATAGGTGTGGAGTTCTTGGACAGCTTACAAAAAGAATAGCTAATTTGGGGATAAGTCCTTGATAGCAGTTAGGCAATACAATCTACAGATATTCTACAGAATTTTTAACAAAAAATATTTTTTTATTTTACATGGAAAAGTGTATTGCCTTGCATGTGTAAGTGTACCTGTGGCATGCAATGCCCACAGGTCAGAAGAAGGAACTGGATCCTCTAGAACTGAGTTACAGATGTAACTGACTTACAGATGCCATGTGGGTGCTGGGAATCAAAACCCACATCCTCTGAAAGAGCAGCCAGTACTCTTAATCACTGAGCCATCTCTCCAGGCCCCAATCCACAGATTTTTTTTTTTTTTTTTTAAATCAGAACTGTCTACAGGATAGGCACTGGCAAAAGAACATAATTAAAAAAGATTTTTTGCTGGGCGTGGTGGCACATGCCTTTAATCCCAGCACTTGGGAGGCAGAGGCAGGCAGATCTCTGTGAGTTTGGGGCCAGCCGGGTCTCCATAGTGAATCCATCCAGGCCAGCTGGGGCTACAGGAGACCCTGTCTCAAAAAGACCAAAAAATAAAATAAAATAAAATAATTTTTTTTTTTTTTAAATTGTATGAGTATGTACACAAGTCCTTGAAAACCAGAAATTTCTGGAACTTGAGTTACGGGCAGTTGTGAGCTGTCTGATGCAGGAGTTGAGTCAAATTCTGGTCCCCTGCAAAATCAGTACACACTCTTAACTACTGAGCCACCTCTCCAGTCCTGGAAGACCACATTTTAATATAAAGAAATTAAAAGGCACAAGCTCACAAAATATTTAGGAAGTAAAATTGGCAGAGCCAGGAGTGGTGGTGCACACCTATAATTTCAGCACTTGGGAAGGGGAAGCAAGTGGACCCAGAGTTTAAGGTCACACTTGACTACAAAGCAAACCATAGCATTTGAGGCAAACCTCAGCTACAGAGGACCCTGTCTCAAACCTCTTTTCTACCTTCTAAAAAGTAGAAGTGGAAGATTTGATAGTTGATGGTAAATAAATGTGGTGAAGGACATACAAAAAACCTCTAATTCTTAACTCGTTCAACTAGGAAAATAAAATGAGTAGGGATAAATCCCTGCTGGAATTGGTTCTCTTCTTCCATCACATAGGTCCCGAGATCAAACTGGGGTCTCAAGCCAGGCGTGGTGGCGCACGCCTTTAATCCCAGCACTTGGGAGGCAGAGGCAGACGGATCTCTGTGAGTTCAAGGACAGCCTGGTCTACATAGGGAGCTCCAGGCCAGCTGAGACCCTATCTCAAAAAGACCAAAACAAGCCAGGCATGGTAGTGAATGCCTTTAATCCCAGGACTCAGAGGCAGGTGGATCAGGCAGAACTCTGAGAGTTCAAGGCCAGCCTGGTCTACATAGTGAGTTCCAGGGCAGCTGGGGCTACAATAGAGACTCTGTCTCAAAAAAAAAAAAAAAGGTGAATTCCTTTTTTTTTTGTTGACGTTTATTTTATTTTTTTTGAAATTTTTAAAATTTAATAACCACATGATTAGAAGCAGCATTTCAATATAGCTTTAACATATTCAGTAACACATTCCAGAGCAAGGATACATCTCTTTCAAAGGTGGTTGTAAATTTTTAGGTTCACAGTTGAATTAATAGTCATACAATATTGAACTCAATATAAACCCTGTAAGACATAAAATTGAAATGAGTTTTTACCTTTTAAAGAAGATCTCCATTTCATTTTAAGATATGCTGTTTCCTACATTTTTAATGCTACTAACATATTTGCACATATGTCTTTAATCTCCATGTATCTGA